CGATAAATAGCGCCACCCGCAATATCGAATTATTGCATGTGTACCCAGTACCCAGTCCCGAGCCAGAGCTGAGGATTTCTCGATTCTTCGACATCACCGCTCCATCCTTCGATTGGGCACAGCGCGAAATTCCGATCCCTAATTCACCCCCCTCGACAAGTCGCTGCTTTCCACAAAAAATGTGAAAGGTTCCTGTCCCCATTGAATGTCTCCAGTCATCCACGGATGGCGATTCTCATTAGTCCCAGATCCCCCGAGATACTTGGACGCTTTGGCTAAGGGTGATTCCCATAGCTTGGACTGCAAGTCGGTGAAGAATAATGAGGAGCGTAGGCAAGCTGCTCATATCAACGTGCTCAGTCTCCGGAATCGAATTGCTTCGTAGGCACGTTTTGCTCTGTTTAAAATTGCGTCTGTTTTGATCTTTCATTTCGGCCGACCAAGTAGTACATTTATCTCTACGCTTCAACGGAGAACCGACTTTTTGAAAACCTCTCATCATCAATAACTCACCGCTTAGCCAGAAACATCGGGACGGAGTTCTGCAGAGCGGCTTGGAAGCGGAGTGATCGCTTGCCCCGGAGCCCGAGGATCGAAATTCCACGAGGAAAACTCCTCTCCGGAGAATCCCTCCTCGACTTCGAGCCACCATCGTCGCTTTCAAAAAGTGTTCGAAGCTCCCGTGACTGTGACGAACCTCCAAGCCTCGTAACTATACATGCGAACGGAATCTGTTGAACAATAATTTTCACTTTTTATGATTCGGCAGCTTTAGTCATTCGTTGGGCGGGTCTGTACACTCTCGAGTTTCTCGCACACGGCGAAGAGCTCTGTCGGAAGAGAACTGCATGCGAGGTCCACCGCTTCCATGAGGGAGGTCCACTCGGGTTCGGTTCAGTCAACGGCTGGTTGAGAAAGTCCATCAAATGTTTTTTTAAAGCGAGCCCCCCGTCGAATCAGAATCGCGCGGAGCTCCGAAGAGCCTTCACGGATTCCCAGGCAGCCTTGGAGATCTGCTTCTCGGCTTTCGAGATATCCAGGGAGAGAGAATGGGAGAGAAATGTGTTGCAGACAGCGAGAAGGAGTCTGATCCGAGACGTACGGGACTCAGACACTCACACGATGCATGTGTAGGAACAGATGCGCCGAAAGCTTCAAGATCGGGCGAAGATCAATTCCGGCGAGTTTTTTATGTTGATGTAAGCCAGTGTTCCGTCAGCTAGTGTCCCATTTCCTTGTGCTTCTGTTGATTCGAACGCACCTTCAAGATCATCTCGAAAGCTTCAAGGGAAGTCAGCGCCAATCGGTATCGATGCTAATGTTCCCAATATCTCGGCAGAATTCTGCAGGAGAATTAGTTTGGCGGCGAGCCGCAATACTGGAGTTTCATCCGTACCTCAGACAGTGAGCGCATCGAGGATTGCACGAACGGCTTGCGCCAGCACGGCAGTGGAAATCTGGCAGTGCAAAAAAAAGAGCGAAATAATTTGTTATGTGGATGCGCGATGAAACCTCGTAGATGTTCTGCGGATGCACAAAGCACCAGAGTTTCAGCTGGTCGCAAAGAGGCCCGAACAGGTGGTGTCGTTGCATTTGACATTTTTGTTGCGCAAGCATCAAAAAGCTCGAAGGGGTCACTCTCTCTCCCGCCCCTCCCCCAATATTCGGGTAATGCCTTTACTGAAAGATCCACCGTTCGGCTGGACCGCTAGGCGGTACTAATGAATAAAAATTATGACAGAAAAACTGACGCCGAGTCGCTCGATCTCGATTCCTCAAGCTCAATCTCCTCGGAAGTACTACCCACGACCGATGACGACCGCAGAAGACTAAAATTTTTGCCGATAAAAGCCATTTTTCTTCCATCCGAAGTTAACCATCGAGTATCTCGAGCGCCCACGGTAAACAAGGTACCGTAATCAACGGAGCGCCTGATAGACAGGGAAGCGGACCACGATGGCTCAGAGAAAGACGAGCGAGAGAGAAATCACAGAGATGAAAGCGATTAGGGGGAAAGATTGCGAAACTGCGAGGAATCGAAAGTCATGAGGACAAATAACAAGAACGAACAGAAGTCCGTCGCGTAGAAAATAAGATCTCCCTTCGAGGTTGGCGGAATGCCACAAGTAAATGTACGATTGAGCTTGAGGAATAATGGGAATCCAAACAAGTTTCACGAAAAATTGGGGGAGAGGACGGAAGACCCGACCGACTCACCAATCGGCCGACTTTCTCAGGGAGAAGAACGACCGAATGATTTTTCACCATGATTTGACTATTGGAATTCCGTTATGGGAGAAATGTGCTCCATCGCTCCTTCCTCGGTCGGTAATCGCTGCGGAGGAAACGCGAAGACAAATAGGATGCGAGGTTCCGAGCAGACTTTCGCATCGCCACCCATCCCACAATCAGATGGATGTTGTCGTTTTGATTAGTTCGCCAAGCAGTCGTCTCGTCTGTCCGTCTCTATGTGGCCCGTTCGATCTATCTGTTCCCTCAATCGACAAAATGAGACTTCTGTCGGACAACGGGGGCGAGTATCGAGTCAGTCCGACGCGTCGTGTCGGTCGATCCGACCGACCGACTGCTTGGCTAACCTCATGCGGAGAGAAAGTTGTCAAATCTGTCAAGGGATAGCATCCCACGTTCGTATGTCTCCATCGACAGGTTACTGGCTCAGATAGCGAGTCGCTCGTTTTGGAATCCAGATGGATCAGGAAACGGCGTCTTTGTTCCTCCTATTCCCCCCTACCCGGTAACTCCGGAAAAAGCGGCATAGCAGTATCCACGCGGAAACATCCAGGCACCCCCTTGACGCCCATATCTCGTGGGAAATTCTGTGTGTTTGACCTCATCGTCTTCCTCACCGGAGTCCCTGGAGACATCGATGTGGCACCAAGTGGATTAAGAACGGAGCCTGACAGCTCTGGTTAGGTGATGGCACGCCATATTTGATGCGGCGAACGCTCACAATTAGTAATCTCCGTTTGAAAGTTACAGCCGCACTAACACCGAGGATTCGTCTGGCTCCTTGTGTCGAATCGCAAGCCTGGTTTGTGGCCGTCATCCGGAACCTTCTGATTCGAATCCCAAAGTTCCATTTACGTCGTCACATTCAGGATTATTGGACATCGGAGCATCCCACGATGGCATAGAAAGGTGGTTTTCGGAGTCCTCCTGAGATGGAAAATGCCCTCCCGATCCGAAAATTGAATACTCGATCGGAGTCTGATTCGCTTACGCTTCGTATTCCACACAGCGGCGTTAGAAAGTCGCGTCGCAGGCTATTGCAAACACAGATCGCGATTCATCACGGATGGTTCACAACATGGACACCTCTGCGAGAGATCTTCAGCCCAAGCCTCCGATCGACGGGGGGTCGAATGGTTAGCGCGTCTGTAACTTTTCGAAGTGGAAGTCACTTCGCGGAGTCAATTCGTGAAGTCACTTCGTGGGGAGCCGCTTTCACTTAATGGAATGGTGCAGCTCGCGCAGGAAGTGCCATGGGACCGAAACCTGCTGTCAACCAAATTTCCGTGCGGAACCTCTCGGCGAAGTTCCTTTATGGAATGTCCTCACGGGAAAGCAGATCTCCGACCTTCACTCGGAATATTTCCTTCCGAGATCCGTCCCCAGAAGCGATAACTAATCGCTACTACCTAGGAAGCGGGGTCTGGCTATGTCGTTCTGCCCGAGATCGATCCATAGGAACATGAGCGGCATGGAATCACGATGCATGGAGAGTGAGTTTATCACGAGACGAGCATTCGATCGACCGGTTCGAGGAATTCCTGTTCGAAGGGAAGAAGAAAGCGGAAATACACCACCGGATTCAGGAGTGAGAATAAAACCCTAGCAGAATGAAATATCTGACTGATGAGCTGTACCGAGAAACTTAGAATACGCGTGCAGAGTAGCTGCTGAGTCCATTTATTATTTATTCCAGATATGACCGGACACCGCTCAGCTCTAAATGCGCTGCTTGACCGCTCGAAAAAGGCCCAGCAGTTAGCATTGAGATATTTTCCCAGGACTTGGAATTAGACTCCCGAATGAGCTCGTTCGCTGCGAGAACCAATCATCGCGGATCCCCCAGTGTGGTACACAAACACCATTATCGCCGCTATCGTGAACTCGTTCCAGTTCTCACAGGCGAAAAGATCGATTCCAACTATGGACCGTCAGGTTTTCATTCCACGGAGGCGTCACGCAGGGCTGGATCCCAAGACACGCCCAATATTTCCCTACGACATCCCCATTACTCGAGTCAGAACGATGCAGACTGATTGTGAGTTCGGAATCCGAGCGAACTTGGAGGAATCTGTCAAAATTCGAATGGATTCTATTAAAAACTTGGGTGTCTCGACCGGTCTCGGGAAGTGTGATCTTCGCCATCCTCTTCTCCGTCAAGCTCTTAGGGTCCTGATCAGAAGTGTTGAGGGTCTCTTCTTACCCTGTGCACGAATATCAGGTCCACAAGCTCAGTCCGCATACGTAGCGCGAGTATCCCTCCAGGTGGCGCTCGTGCTCGCCTGAGAGAGAGAGTCGAGATTTTGAAGGGAAGATCGCGGCGCGACCGCACGAGACATTTCGGAGCCCAGTAGCAGTAACCGCCGGTGAGCAGGAGAGGGTCGGTCCTAGCCCTGTCGACTCCCGATTGTGATTGCATTTGGATGAGCGCGCGGATAATTGAACTCGTTTCGGTCCGGACTTGTTCTCTCTGGAAGGTGCGGGTGCGCAATGACAGTCCGAGTTCCCCGTCAGAGGCTCCGGATTGCTTTAAAAATAAGTGTCGATGGATAAAATGATGTGACGGTGACAGTAGAGAACGTTTCTCGAACCCGGTGAGAAATAGCGAAGCTTGATACGCGCGAGTCGGTTCTCTCGGAGCAGCTGCGAATCAGAACACTCCGAGCATGAGAAGACTGTCGACGCATCTATGGAATATCTGATGACAGGATCTCACGAAAAGAAAATTATCGGTATAATCGGACGGTACCATGAAGCCAGTTGTGTTATTCGCACTCGTTTGCCTATCGGCGTTACTCATCAACGATGTGATCGCACAGAAAAAGTTGGATAAGCTTCTGGAAAAACGTGAGTACGCTTTCCGCAGGAAGCGTGAGATGCTTTGCAATTATCTAGTCCGCATGCAAAACACTTCAAACTCGATGACAGCCCGCGATGAAACGCGGAATCGGTATGAGCGGGCTAATATGCGATTTCCCTCAATAAATCAATGGGAGAAAGATTGATCGATTGATTGATCGACCCGTCATTCGATTCACATGGAAGAAAAAGCGTAGCGTCGCGGTGGGGGCTTGACGCGGCGAATTATCGGTTGAGCGTATAGTTTGTCAGTGAGCGTCGGATCATTTCCGCAACGAGCTCGGCAGCATCATTAATGGCGAGCTCCCATTTGCTGCGCATAATTCCGTCATCAATTTTGAATTATCTGCGCTGACAACTTCGCGTCCTCGCCGGCGCTGTCGCCGCCGTCATCCTAGCTGGCGCTCTTATCAGGAATTACTTTTTCAAAAACACGTATCGCTTGAATCCCGCGTCCGCGGCAGCCACATATTGAGGAAAGCGATAGAAAGCTGAGCGAAGGACACAATGGACACTACCAACCAGAGGGAACACAGTTAGAGCCTCAAAACATTTTCGATCTCTCCATCCCGTCGTAGGATGAATGGGAAGGAATTCATAACTGATGATACGGGCGCAAAGCTCGGGGGTTTGTGAAGGGAAAAATCCGTCCATGAGCATCCGTGGGTCGGTCTACCTGCTCCCGTATCATGAATAATCCCATTCGAACGTTATCTTATCTGCAATTGGCATTGGGCGGAGTCTGCTTCCTTTTCCGAAGTATCCGAATCGCTCATCATATCGATGCCATGGAGAAATGCCGCGGATGATTCTGAAAGAGAAACTTTGATCCGTCATGGAGACTCCATTCATCGCCGGGCTGGAAGGTGATACCGCGCGCGGATCTGGGCAAGTCCGATGCAGTTCGGCGACTCTCCCCTCTGCGAAGTTCCTTTGGAAATTCAACGTGTATCTCCATCGGGGGAAAAGCTGAGCTCCGAAGGGAGCCGTCTGAGTCGAAGTCTGTGCGTGATTTGAAATCCGATTAGGTACACGAAATGAGAAGAAGAGCTTGAATTTTATTTCTTTCCCGCCGTTGCTGCTCCTCTTTCATCTCTCCTTCTAAGATTATGTAGATTGAGCAGATGCGTGCTCGGTTACTCGCTATCGTCGCTATCAAACATTTTCACATCTACTCACACAGCAATTCCCATAGCGTCGACGTTGTCGCCATTTACGTCGTCGCTTCTGCCGAGTGCAGGTGAACAACGAATATAATCGCAACTGTGGGTGAGACAGCGTGAAATTATGGCGTCAACCGATTCCTCCAGCAAGTCTTCAGCTGCTCTGGATGTTTCTGAAGCGATCAGATGACCCCATGTATCTGAAAGTCGTAACTCTCGTTGATCCCTTGAGCAAGAAACATTGCGGGCGATGGAGCTGTCTATCTATCTATTATTCATCAGAATGGAATGACTTGACTGTGGAAATCGAGGCAAGAAGTAAATTATAATAATTTCCATCGGAGAGGAGAATCGACCTCATGAACGTCGCAGAAAACAAACATGTCGGAAATCAATCGGGAAGGCCATGAGCAGGCCTTGCGCACCTCCTCCTTCCGCGGCTCCTTGATTAAATCAAACGGGCCTCTTTAATAATTTGCGCCGCGAGTAATTCTGATTTTTAATTATCACCGAGTCGGGCAATAAATAACTACGCCTAACCGCCTCGCGAGTGGGCAGCGATGCATTGAGCACGTGAACAACAAGAGGAACACCGGGTCTCGCGTCGTAAAAATTCAACCACATAGAACTCTTTGAGCGTTGGAGGATCCATGACGGACGGAGCTTTATCAGATTACGCAGAAAACGGTGCTAAACGGTGAGCTTACGTCCCCGATCATGGAGGCGATTCACGGCGTGTCGCATGAGAAAGAGAGCACTACGGTATCAAGCGCGTCCGGGAAGTTTCCAGCATGGTGGCCTTCGGCGGAATCTGTGATCGGGAGAGCCTGCGGGGAAGCTATCGAGAGTTCATGGTGAAGAAATTTGTCACAAATTTGCGTCAAGCACGCAGCTTCTCACGAAATCCGCGCGGAACGATGTTGCAAGCCAAGGCGCGGGAGTTCGCAGAAGGGACTCGCAACAGTTGACAAGCTGACGAGGTAACGTCGGAACAAGCCGACTAAATGCCTGGACACATGTCAAGAAGCGTCCTTCGAGGAGCTCTACTTGGTTTTATGGGTCTGGGAGCTCGCCGATGCTGAAGTAAATTTATGCTGTGGAAGTTTTGAGAAAAGCTGCTTGCCCGTCCACCCGCCTACGGGTCGAAGAGGCCATTTTTCAAGCCGGCACGCTGCTGGCTCGCTCGCTCGCTTGCCTACTTCACTCACCGGCTGGTTGTTTAGCCGGGCGTTCGGTCGCGGCATCGTCCGTCGGCCGGCCGTCCAGCGAGGTAATCGTCGTCGCTTTGGTCAGTGAGCCTTAGCGGTGAGCGAAGCAGCTCGACCACAGACTGACAATAGAGCCGCGAACATCAGAACGCTCCGTGACTTCGGAACATGTCTTCGACTCACGATTCAGCGACCATCATCCAATCGCATCATGCGATCGCATTAACGCCGATTAATTGAATCCGTAACGGAATCGGCGCATGCAAGCTCTAATGTGAACCCCGATCGCCGGTTCGAAGGGACGAGCGCCCCGCTGCGACTGGAATCTGAAAATCGATTCGTCTTCCATTCAAATATTTCATCTCCGGACCTCCCCGAGTCGACCACACCATTTCCAAAGATTGAGCATCTGTCCCTCATTGCTGCCGATCCAGGACGTAGCTCCGGGAATCCCGATCTGAGCCGCGAGTTTTCTGTCGGACGCTTCGGATCCGCTCGATGCAGGACGATAGTCTGTCTGTTGACGAGGGCATGCCAGCTCAGAAACGATCGGATTGGAATACGCTCCAGCGCATCTGAGATCATTCTGTCGATCATATCGACGACCGCGTATCCGTGATATCGTAAACCTTTGGGGCCTTGTCGTTCCAGTCCATTGATCTTGTTCCGATGCGGGACAACGTCGGAGCTGTGGTTTCTTCTTCTTCTTTTCAGTCGGTTCCGACATCCTTTGGTGGAACTTGTTATCGTGCCTCGATTGACGAATTGTACCGCATAATCCCTGGACGCTCGTCGTCCGTCACCCTGCACTACCGAACATAGGCCACCGGGAGATCATATCACAGCGAGTTGTTTTTATCGCCTTCGTTCATTTGCTACCTACCTACAGATGTGGGAATCGAAAGGCTGCTCGAGGCGGTGGCGGCCTGTCGAGGATGCTAGGGATTCCGGGTGAGTACGAAAAGCAACAGTGGTGGCAGCAGCAGTATTGTGCGACGCTTCGTTTAAGACCACTTGCTGATCAAACAGGCGCGATCCGGCGGATTTACGTTGGAGTAGCTCGACGCGAGAGCTCTCGACTATCGATTTATTTACCGAGCGCCGGACCGGAATACTTCGCAAAGTTCGCGGGGAACACAGGAAGGGACGGGGGCTTCACAACAAACCTGAACTTTGAGCTGTCTCTCAGGTGAACTCTGGAGTGTGGCAAGAAGAAAGGATCTGAATGATCCAGTTACGGGTCATGTCTGAGAGATGAGGATCAACAGGATTGAGAGCTGCCAGATGTAAAAGTTTTTAGTGGCTCCATCCCGGCGAAATCGAGGACTGCTATTTGAATTATTCCTCTCGAGCGACTAGAGCGGTACGATCCCTTCATTGAATTAATTATCGCTCGAGCTTTGTATCCCCCCATTAACGATCGTGCCATACCTCTTTTCTCTGTTGATTGCATCGGTATACATCTCTGATCTGATCATTGAGGTCTATTTATCTGCCTACAAGGAAAATAATCTATGCATGCTTAGGACCATTGGAATTCTGCGCCGTCCCTGCGTGAAATTCGGGTTCGCAAAAAGGGAAATAAGAACGGTCTTCACTGCAGAAAAAATACCGCCGTCTTTCTCGAAGTAATTATACGATGATTATTCATTGAATGAGATTGATTCGAATGCAATCACGCGATTCAGTCCCGGGTTTCCGCGCTCCGTGGACTCCTTGATGCGCCGCGGGAGCGCGTCCGACATCATTTCTGTCTCGAAGCCTCTCAAACTTTCATATGCATAAAGGCGACGTGGAACAGCTCTCCGAGAGAAGCACATGCGGACCTTCTTGGACTCCGCAAACCTTCCGGCGCGTGTGTTTTCCACATGCGTCTCACCGGGAGCAGAAAACTCACCTTTTCAACAGTCTGAAACAAGAGACGACAGCCGATAGGGCACCGTGCTTAGGCGCACCCCTTCCTGAGAAACAGTTCGTCGTTGGCGGCGGCGGAGGAGGAGGCGGCGGTAATTGTCGACTACGAGACCGACCCTCTAGACACTCGTTTACAGTTGAAGAATATATCCTCCGATCGTTCAGAGCGATAAAGAAATTCTTTACTTTCTCGAGTTCTGTCAGAGCGAGTCCTGGAATTCTGAGCCGGGGGCATCATAAAACTGATCGATCACGGGACTACCGAGGAAGACAGCGATAAGATCTGGGGGCTCTAGGACCATCCCAGTACCCGCGAAGATTGCGAAACTGGATTTTTTATAGATTCTCTGGAGAGCTTCAAATCAGGATTGCCTGCATCCGCGGTTAGAATTCGGCTGATTTGAGGTCGTCGTCGGCACGCCTGCACTCCGCTGCCAGAAGATCGCGGTCGTCTGTGCGTTTTTTTGATTTTTCAAGCAGCGTGCGTGGTTACTAGGAGCGCCGCCCGTCGGTTACCTCGCAATGATGTCAGTCCGTGGAGCGTGAGGTGTGTTCCAAATAAACAATGGACAGCATCGGAACCATCTAATAAACACGATCGGATCAATTTGCACAAAAACCTCTCACCACAAATTGAAGTGCCGTGGGTGAGGTCATGCTCTCGGCGTGGAGCCTGATCCGATGCCGTGCCTTCCGACGCGAC